ACCGAACTTGGTAAATACGGATGCTTTTACGAGAGAGAACCGCTCAGGTTCTTTTGGCATCCAACAATCCTCTCAGCACCGAAGTACTCCAAGCAATACGTTGGGTAGAGATAGACACTTTGTACTCAGGTATGTTACTGCCACTCGGACGATGCTGCATACTGTGCCACGACAATTCCACACCATCACCTGCAACCACACAACCAACAACCACCACCCCACGCATCAAGCGCACCTTTTCCGCCACATCCACCTGTACCACTCTCCACCACTATCCACACCACCCAACCCCGTTCGTACATCCCGCCACCCATTCCCAAAGATTTTGTAGACTCCCCGGAATACCACGACTGCCGCATCATTTTTGGACACGACCTTCCTCGGTTGGTAAAACCTACAGCGCGGTCCCAAAAAATGGGGATCGCCCATTGCCCCATCGAGACCCTACCCATTCTCACGAGGCCACCAGCACACAAGAAGCACCACATTTCAAGCAGTTTCTCTCCCCACACTTCTACGGACCCCGATTTGTCTCGCAACCGAACCGGGACTCGACTTCCTCGGATTCACCATCCACCCCACCACACACAGCATCCACTACAAAGCCACCGACAACCTCACCGACATCACGTCACCGCCATCCGCTTCACCACAAACAGTGCTACCTAGCAGCCTTGCAGCCCGTGCCATTTTGGCACGCAGACTCGCTACACCTCAGGAAGCAGGCAACAGAGCAATGGACCAGCTCACTGAGGTGTATGAGAGAGCCGGCTCGCTGCCTGCAAAAACAGCCCTCAGCGTCGACCTTTGCGCTTTTCAGTCATGAGCACATGATCTTGTTGCTAACACCACACAGCCATTCCATCACAGGTCTCGCTTGTAGCCGTTTACACAACCTCACGAGCCATGACATCTCCCACAGAGGCCTATTTCAAGAAGAAAGGCGTGCGATGTTAGCCGACGCCATCCACGCCGTGCTCACGCAGACCCAACCACGGGAGCAGTCAGGCCCTCAGGAAGTTGAACGTCAGCAGAACGGTGTCACCATGAGTCCGATCATTCCGACTCATCCAGCAGCATCGCCGACGTCAACAGCCCAGAGTTCAATGAGCTACTGGCAGCCTTCATCCAAGCTACCAACACGGCCATCTACGAGCTGTTAGAACGAGTACAGGCACTGGAGGCAGCACAGAATCCTCCGGACCCTCAAGCACAGTAACTGAAGGCCGCGCAGCCCAGGACCATGTGTGATAATTTTGATAACATTACAGTCCCGCTACGTGCTGAAAACATGCCACGCGTGCGCACGGTCGCACAGCCTTCTTGATATAGATGCAAAACCAGCAGCGTCACACGCCGACTCCGCAGCCGTTTCATACGTCACTGCATTTCATACTGAGCTCCGCCTGGCGGAACCAGCCAGAGTGCCATGCCTGTTCACAACGAGTTCCTTTACGCATTGTCGTTGGAGCAGCGAAGCCGGTTGACCCACAACTTGGAGCAACTTGTCCATTACCCACAGCTCTCAGTGGACAGTGGTCTAATCTCACTACGACTTGGAAACTTCGCAGAATAAGCACTCAGGACATGACGACCAGTGGATCCACAGCAGATACGGCCATTGCTGAGAGTCCGGTGACACAACACCAACAGTCGGCTTGTTTGCTTGCCGCTTTTGATCAGGCGTGTCAGGATCTCAGCGATGCATCTTCAGTTTGCCTGGACCTAATCAGCCGGATCATGCAACAAGTGCCTGGTATAGCGGGCCGCCATCTCGAAACACCAGATGCCGACATGTCTATCACAGCGTCAGGCAGCCAGGATACCTGACCAACACGCCAGCGTCCCAGAGTTCAGTTACTGTTTGACAACTCTCAGTTCAAGCCGTGAAGGAAAAGAGCCCTTATGCTCGCAACGCGGCACGAACAAACATAGCTCTTGCATTATGACCTAGCCGTGGTGCTTCATGACCGCAGCCTTTACAACACAAAACTTATACGTTAACTGCAGCCATGGAGTCGACCCAGTCTTCGACATCAGCACCACACCCTTCATGGTTGGCAGCTCGGGTATTCGACTTGAGTGCCATACCGAAGGCTTACCAACAAAAAGCCTTGCAGCTAAAACGCAGTGCACCACCAGAGTATCAACCTCAGTTGATACACATTGCAGCTTTCTTTTTGATCAATCGAGTTCCAAAGAACTGTTCAACTCCATACAACGCGCAGTGCCACCGGGAAGTCAGAACTTTGAGTACTGGCGCCGAGTTTGCAGCAACGGAAAAATCCCCAAGAATTTTCGACAAGGACACGGGGCTCGCATACACAAACCCCGTTTGTTTCGGCGACATCCTTTCAGAGAAGAGAAAAGCGGGAGCTTCGAAGAAGCGACCGATGCCAGCCATGCTCAAAACCGCTTCAGCCAGACGCATCGACAAGCGTGGTTCACCCACGCAGAGC